AAAAAAAAAAAAAACCATCCTATAAAATCTAAACAACTACAAGTAAAACTACTAACGTTAAGTGAAGTAATTAAGTTTACATTTTTGCAGATACAGATAAAAGCTGACTTGATCAGTGAGAACAAACCACTGAAAAGTTTAACAAAATGTAGATTACCTCCTCCCTTGGAATAATTATTTTGATTTGTAATATTCATAATTACAAAATACAATGTCATAGTTAAGTTAAAAAATGAAATATACTTTAAAATACTAAAAATAGCCCAATTAATGTCATTTTAAAATTCAAAAAGTGAGCCTTGAGAAAATTCCTTTAAAAATTCACCAATGCCATCTATTCCACACCCCTACATTATAAAGTAGATCTTTAGCCAAAAAATAAACAAAAAGGCATATTTATAATCTCCTTATTCACTGATTTTACACACAGGCGGCCTCAGCATCCATGTTCAGAACCACGGTATCATGAACCACAGAACTGCCATGAGGGAAGCCTCAAATCAAGGTGAATCATTCTCACTGAGACTTCACACCATGACAGAACCAAGAACTGGGCATCATGAAATTCACCTCACTGCTCTAAGCTGTACCTTCTCTGATCCTGGGTATAGCAATGCTTGACCCATTTCTTTCCCAGGTCCCCCTTTCATTTAATACAGTAAGTTCTTAATCAGAAATACATAGCTTCACACAGAATTTACAGCACTGCTAAGTGTACCTGAGTATGCCACTTCAGAGAGTAATAATTGGGCACCATAACCAGTTTAATGCTTATTAACTAGGAGGTACCACCAACCTAAGAAAAGAAATTTCCTCATACTACCTCAAAGTGTGGTCTGATCTTTTGGAGTGAAGAAAAAATAAAAAGGCCAACCTGCAACTACCATGTAGACCAACAACAAAATAAAAAATAGCAGAGTAAAACAGAACCACCACCAGAACAGGAATGCAAGCTCCATGAGGACCAGGATGGCCTGTCTTGATTGCCACTGTATACCTAAGTATTTCATACAGTACTTGCAACACTGTTATAATTTTTTGAAAGAATAAATGATAGCTCTCATTCAGTTTACTCTTTTTTTTTTTTTTTTTGAGGCAGTTTCACTTTGTCACCCT